ATGGTTTTTGTTCGATTTGTGTACATAGTAGTCTTCAATATGCTGTATATTTTCTGAAACGTCCTCATTAAACCGTATAAACATGTTGACTTATAATATATTGTAAATTGTATCGCGTTCACTCAAAAACTTGGAATTTAAAAATTTAGTCGGTAAAAATCTTGAACATACAATTTTCAAATTCGTAAAAATTCGGACGGTAAATATCTGGACGGTATAAATTTGGAATTTAATATTTAAAATAACTCTCGCGCGTACAACTCATTAACAACCTTGTGTTAAATGTTCAAGTATTTCTCCATCATACAATTTTCTATTCCAGGTTTCTACCGTCCAGATTTGTACGGATTTCAAAATTCCGTATTCCTGATTTGTACCGTCCAAGTTTTTACTTTCCAGGATTTTGCGTGCTATTATTGTATCGTTCATGTTATCGTTAATTTTGATCGTGTATACTACATATGATAATTCATAATATTGAAAACGTAATTCGAATTCCATTATGCGATTAACAAACGACACCGTGTACATATATAGGTATGCATTTTAATTTAAATTTAAAATCAATATATTATGTAATAGGTTACTATATTTGTGCGTAGATTATCTTTAACTATAACACAAAACACAATAATATACTTGCAGAGTAATGGTTTTGAAAACTTTTTAAAACAAAGATATATATTTTCATGTTTTAAACTTTATAGATGTTTGTTTCCGAACAAATCCGCGTGAATAATTATTGCGATTATTGATTATTCGTTTTCGTAATATATTAATATTTTAGTTTCTGTCCACATTGACTAATGAATTACTTTATAGTTTACTGCGTGGTAAGTTTTGACTTTTATATTTTTTTTTCTGTGTGTTTGTGAACTTTTCTAACTTTTCTCCCGGAAATTTTGTTTCAAGTGCAAGTCGTTTATAAGAGAAAATTGTGTCTAGTTGGTGTGCACCGAGGAAGTAATTTTTTTTTTTGGTTGCGATTCATTTGAAAATTATATCATCGTAGAGATTTCAATTAATTTTCATAAAATACTTATATTGGCTTTTTCTAAACGCGGTAAATGTTCAAAACATCCTGGTGATTTTTGAACTTTTTATAAACATTTGACATTTTTAGATTCTGAGTGTAGCGAATTTTTTATCGTGAAAAACCGAAAAAAAAGGAGGAATAGTGTACGAAATATATTACTAAAATATTGCGATTTTTTTTTTATGCACAGCTTTTTGCAAGAAATTTGGCTCCGATTTACAAAGATAGCACTTTTTTTGAAAGGAAATTTGATTAGAACGGTACTTTAGGGAAGTATTTTTTTTGATTTCCCCAAAACTTTTCTCAAAAAATGTGAAAAACTGGAAAACAATGGGAAAATCGGTAGAACATCAAATAATTATTATTAAAGTAAATATATAATGCCTATTTATTTTTATTTATTTTACTATAATATGGTATACATTTTTTTGATAAAGCACCACTATCAACTGAACTCCAATTAGAATCGGTTTTCGTTAGCAATGGTTTATCATTGCTTGGTGTACATTGAATTCCCATCTGTATCCTACCTTCTCAACTTTCCACCTAAAACAGTGGCTGCACTCATGCCTATGATTCTAAGACAGCTTTTTCAGTATTTTATTTGATTTATATGAATACAATTGTTTTGGCCTGAGTGGAAATGCTAAACATTTAATACGAGGTTCATTATAAGTGGTATTCAGGTAAATGAAAAAAAAATGTCGAGTGTAAGTTAGTGTTTTTTTTCAAGTTTCAAATTTTGACGAAAATCGTAATGAACACGTTATTTCAAATATGTTTAACTAACCTGTCTTTTTAATTTACCAACAACTGCTGGTATAATTTTTAATGGAAGAGAAATAAGATGACTTGATATATTATATAAACAAAGTTTTTTTATAATAAAGTGCATATATTTTTAGATGTGTTGAACGAAGTATTCCTTACGTTTTTCATATGTATGATACAGGTACTTAAACTCATATTTCTAACGATTTGGTATATTTAACATTCTTAGTACACAAGAATTATTTATGTAAATATTAATCTCTTATATAAATACCATATGATTTCGCTTTCTCCGTTCTGTACTATGTTTGTTCCAATAAAAATATGCAGTAAATATGTTTTCTTTACGTTTTTTTTTTTTCAAAACGAATTTGTCGTAAAACGTTTCTTTATTTATACAGTATGATGTACAATAGAATATTTAGAGTATTATTATCTTCATATATTATAATTAGTTTGTGTATTATTCAATGATATACTTATATGCAAATACAATGATACACTTATTATAAGTGTAGATAATAAATAATGTACTAAATTAAGATTTTTTTTAACGAGTAAAATGTTTGTTTTAAATCTTTTGATTTTTATACGATTAAAAAAAAAAAAAAACTTGTCAATATTGCGAAGAGGGCATAACATTAAAACCTAATTGATAAAACTCTGCAGAATTAATACATTTAGTCGTCGTATAATACAGTTACTTGTAATATGTTCGTATATTTTATGTATTTTCTGAAGATTCGAAATTTTTTTTCGTATTTTTAACTAGTTGAATTTTTCTTTGATGGCAATATAAATATATATAGTTTATGAAATATTATTATATTATGCAAAATATATAATACATTTTAAGTATTATACTCTATATAATAGTAATAATTATTTTTATAATCAACGATTATAATATTAAAATGAAAAAATAAAAAAAAAAATAGAATACTATACGAACAAAGAAGCGATTAAATATAAACGGTGACGACAGTGAAATACTGTAAACAAATTGTGTTTTAGATTCTGAGTGGAGCAAAGTAGCTTATGGTTTTGAAGTTATGTTAATTTATGTTTCTGTGGACATTTTTTATACCAGAAATTTTGCTCCAATTTTCAATGATAGTACTTTTTCTAAAAATAAATTGGAGGTGCTTTAAGAATGTCATTTTTTTTATTTCAATATTAAAAAATATTACTTAAGAAAATGTTTAATATGAATATATATATATATATATATAATTATTTTACTAAAATATGACACACATATTGTTGACAAAGTAAAACTATAAACCGAACTCCACTCAGAATCGTTTTTTCGTTTACAATGGTTAATCGTTGCTAACAGATATACATAAAATTCTCGTCTATATCCTACATTCCCAACTTTCCATCTACAACAGTTGCTGCACTTGTTTCCATTATTCAAAAACAACTTTTGTTTAACACGTATTTTCATTATGACGTTTTGTGTTTAGTGTTTTGTTTTTTTTCTCTCTCATAAGTAAATATACGTTTTAAATTACTCTTACTTGTAATATACATAGAATATAGATACTATGTTATACGACCCTTTTTTTTTTTTCGTAATATGCACTTTATACTAAAAATGCACTTTCGCTAAATTTGTTAAATTCGACGTTTTTCCCGGTTTATAATTGATTTTGGAAAAAAAAAGACCTATCATTTTTTTATATTATGGAGTAGAATTCGTTTTTCTTAAAAAGTTAAATAATATATATATATATATATAGAACACAGGTAATGAGTATTTTATATAAAATCGAATATTGAACAGCTGAATGTTTTAATTAATTTCTTTGACGTCAAGATACTGCAGATTTATACCCCGCCCCAAATCGTAATTCTCTATATTCTTGAACAATTTTCAATTCTCATAAAATTGTATAAGCAAGAGAGATAATATCTACATTATCTATATATTGTAATACGCGTATAGTTATACTCAGTATGTAACACGAAGATCTGACATCTGAAATTGCTTTTGATCTGTTCATTATATTTAAGTTTATATTTTCCTTATGATAGCTACTTGAGCCTTACATTTTTTTGTATTTTTATAATTTATTTTAAAATTAAAAATCAAAATATAATTTTTTTGAAAAAAAAAATATTTTTATGAAATCCATAATAGCCATTTTATAATTATATTTTAAAACACAATTTTGGTTTTACAAAAGTTTACTAATGATGAATCGTTAGTTTTCTATAATTATTATTAAAACTTGACGAAAATTTAAATTAATTTCATTACCACTACTAAATAATATCGAGTAATTCGTTAATTTGTCCATGAAAAATAATTTTTGTAAACTTCCAATAATTGTAGAAACCTTATCATTATTTTCACATTATTTGATTATTAGTAAATATCAATTGTAACACCAAATTTTGTCTCAAAATATATTAACGAGCTGGATATTTTAGATTTTGTAAAAACAGTTTTTCATTTAAAAAAAAAAAAATATAATATATAAGAATCATAGGACTATGAAGTCTAGAAATTAAAAAATAAATAATGTTATAATTCCTATTATAACGCGAGCGGGTTAAAAACTAACCCAATAGAATTATATTTGCTGGTGTGTTCACTGAGTATAGAAACGCTGTAGTTAATTTCTAAATACCTATATTGTGATTTACCCTCTTTATATTATATTATTAAATTATATTAAATTTTATTATTATTATTACTCGATGTTAATATTATTACAACGTTCGCGTTGACAAAGAAAATATATTTCTGCCGTTCTCGTTCGAACGAACTAATAAATACAATTTAATTAATAGCCATTGAACTCGGGTACCCGGTATATTTTAATTCCGGAATAAATCGCTCGGTTTCTTTTTACATATTTTTTTTTTTTTTAATAATCGTTCGTACATCGCGCGCCACGGGGGTAGTAATCTAATTCCGTTCTCGGTTTGTTCAACCGTTATGCCGGCGGAAAATGAATTTATGTTGTATTACGCTGTACCTATACGTATATATATATATATGTACGGTGTATACTTTACGAATGTATGTATATTTACTAGTTGTGTGTGTGTGTGTGTGTGTATACATCTCAAGAGATGTGTTTTTCTTTTGTGTTGATGTTTAACTTTCGTTTATTAGTCGATAAATCTTTCGGAGGGGAGATTTCGGCAGTTTCCGAACAAACAGATTGTCGGAAACCGTCTTATTATTATTTCGACGCTGCTGCCGCCCGAGAAACGGGGTTATAATATTGTATACGCTCGAGTCGTATATAACCGCACTTATTATACCGCGTATATAAACGGACGTTTTATATTGCAAAACGCCGTGTTTTTTGAGAGCCGTGACGTTTATCTTTCGGAGATTTTATCGACTCGGCGGCAGCGGCTGTACGTTTCGACATTAAGACATTTTTACCCTCGAGCGGATCGCGTTTACGGAAAGTGCGTTGCTGCAGCACAGGTATCTGTATCGTTGCGAATCGTAACGGCGCACGGTTTCCGCGAGTTGGTCGGGGGCTAAGCGGTTAATACGGTGTAAAATTAATAATGTTTTGATGGAGGGTGGGGGGCGACGTCGGGTTAGGAAACTAAAAAAAAAAAAAAATAAAAAAATAAAAAAAATAGAGCTGGAAATATTACTATATACACAAAGCCTCGGCGGCGACCATCGCATCGCGATTGGGCACGTCATACAGCGGCCGCCTTATTTAAACACCGCCGACGCTCGAAAACATTCCGTGACGTTTGACGGTTGTCGCTATTCGAGCGTGTAATGAGAATTTTGCATTATTGTCGCCGGGGAATAATAATAATAATGATAATAATATCGCTCCGATAACCACGCGTATATGTTATACAATTTTTATGTAGAGAGTAGTTTTTGTTCGCGGTTTTTGGCGAAAAACGCGCGGAGATATTATATACGCGTACACCTTGCGGCACGTCGTCGGATCGTCGTCGTTTAGCTACTTTTCGTGTTTCGGCGTTCGGCCCGAGGCGGTTTTGGCCGGTTACCAAGTGGGTTTTTCTTGTTTTTCCGAACCCCGAGTGGAGTGCATTTGGAAATTGAACAATTCCGCAAATTTCGTTAGAAAAATATACGCGTATTATTATTTTCGTATGGGATCGACTATACGGATATTATACAGTCTCTCGTGTGCGGACACGGGGCTCGCGTACACTGGACGCTCGCCAACATACATACTTATTCTCTCGCACTTCCCCCCTACCCTCCCCCGGCGGATTTCGTCGGGATTTCCTGTTTCGACGTCTTATATGTTTTATACTCGGATCGTTTTCGAACGACATAATAATAACAGCGTCTTTGGTTCGTAGGTTCTCTGTTTCTTTTGTTGGACACGATTCTCTCATTAAAGCCGCAGACAATATTGTATCGCCGGTTGTTTTTTTTTTTTACTGTAACTTACACCGATTCAACACGTGGTCGCAGTTTCGCTAATATAATTACGAATAAACAAAACGCTCATTTCGCGCCGCATTAACGGGGTTAATATTGTACGAATACGTTAAGGTTATTATTTTACGAACCGAATCGCTAGCAAATCTGGTATGACGACGTAAAAATTAATATCAATGAGTACCGAGGCTATTATTATGTAGAACAATCGATAGTTTTTCGTGATTTATAGCTGACTCGTGTCAGTACCAGAATACGTACCAGATTCATCTATTAGTTCAGAGTGTTAATATAGACATTTCCATTGCCGATAAAATGCAGGGTCTTTGCGAAGGAAACTACGAATTTCGGAAAATCATATAGATTTTCATTCATAGATGAATTTTTCAAAACATCAACTATTTATTGATTTCTAAAACGTTCGTAAGAATGGGGATTGTTGTTTTTATTATTTTGATTTTTGAAAATTACGTCGGCCATTTTTGTGAGAAGACGAACAAGGTGTGTTTGAAGAAAATGAAAATCGCATCTTTTTGACAATTGTTGAAGCCCATTTTCATTTGAATGGCCTTTTGAACTAGTCAAATTTCAGATACTGGATGGATGAAAACTAAAGAAACATATACACGAGAAACACTGCTTTCGGGTTACAGTATGGTGTGCTGCTGAGAAGAATGTAGTTATCGGCATTACTTCTTCGAAGAAACCGACATTGTTGTTAACTGTCAATTCTGAACTTTATCTCGCCTTGTTAAATGATTTCTTTCTCCCTAAACTCCGACATAAATGTATTGCATGTATAGACGTGTTTGGTTCCAACGTAATGGAGCAATTTGCAATGCGTCAACTGCCACAATGGACTTCAGTCAACAATTCTCCGTGCGTCTGATTTTCTCGACGCGATGACGTTCCCTGCTCCTCCTCGGTCCTTTGACCTACCCCTTTGTGATTTTTTTTCTTCTGGAATACTTCAAAGAAAGAGTTTATTAAGATAAGCCAAAACTTTTAGCTATTCGAAGGAGACAATCATGGAAGAAATCAACCGTATCTGTCGGGACATTTTGCAGAGTGTATAAATGCATCCGAGGAAATGGCCGATATAATTTTCAAAACTAGAAGTAATAAAATAAATCGTTATTTTTAAGAATATTTAAAAATCAATACATAGTTTACATCTTGAAAAATTACTGAGCTATGATTTTTTAAAGACTGTTATTTACCATGATGTTATAGTTTTCATCGTACTCTGGTATCTTTTAGTAAGTTAAATGTATGCGATTATTTTGATATGTTTCATTTATAGCGCCACAATTATATTATAATTTCTTCCATACTAATCGTTCCATATACCACATTTTTAAAACATTCTTTTACCCACGGCATTCATCTCGTTTCGTTCACCGCTATATCACTCGTAGGACTTGAACAACCTAAACTGCGTGGTTTCAACTCATCTCAAATCGGTTTGTCATTATCGTTCGTCCAAACCCCCCCCCCCCTCCCCACCTGATGGTAAAAGATAACTAAGATAATCGCCCAGAATGGTTACTATACATTAACAATGACGTCATCTTTTTGAATGAATGATCCAATAAAACAACAATTCCGGTATATCATAATATACAAAACAAACTCGTAAAATAGTATTGCTCGAATCGGGTTATACGAATTGGTTGGTTTGGCGGCGTATATATATATAATATATAGGTATCTATTTCGGCAAAAACCATTACTAGTTTATGGTTATCGTTTGACCTTTTTATGCTTACGAGTCTTTCGTTGTAGAACAATAGTTTTCGAATACTCTGTGTATTATATTGTATCGTTAAAATCAAATGTTTTGACCGTGTAATAGATATAATACACATTTAAAATATTACCGGAATGCGAAATTTTTCAGATGAGTTCAGTAGGTATACAATGTGAAAGTACGTACTTTATTATCTACTCTAACCATAAATAATTAATAAGTGTAAATATCGTTGAAGATCCACACATGCCATTTAAAAGAATTCCGAAGACTATTTTTTTTTTTTATTATTTAATTTGTTTTTTATTACTATATTCTTGACAATAGATATAGAAAATTAACATTTAATAACGCTATTAATAATCCAACCATGCAATATTTACACATTTTAATAATTAAAAGTATAATATTTATTTATTTTATTTTATTTTATTTTTTTTTTTATACAATCCATCCATGGAAAATCATACTTGAAATAATACATAAAAATACACATTTCACATTTCGTAAATTGTAAGAAGTTATACACATTGGAACACGTGTCGGATCACTAACTCTGGAGTTATCCCGTAGGATAAATTTGACCACGCTGCACTTTTGAACTTTGTGTTTGTGTATCCGTGCGTGTTCCATCAGTTTAAAAATGAAACGAAACTTTGTATACACTGGTAAAATATAAAAATTGCATTTTATCAACCAAAACGCACGTTTATAGAATTTTGCTTGAGTCATTTTGTCATTTATGTACTTTTTATATGTTTATTATAATCCATTTGTTTCCAATTTTAAATTCAATTCAATGTATTCGTTTTTCTATATATACGATGTACAGCGGGACCTCGATTACTCGAACACCTATAAGTCGAATTTTCAATAACTCTAAGGAACGCCATGGCCCCTGCATTTCAATATACGATATATAGGATCAATTTTCTCGATAATTAAAATTTCTCGTTAAGTTGAAATTATAAGAGTTTAGTTTTGGCTTATAAGTCGAATTATTCGACATACATTACCTAAAATTATTGAAATAATAAACGAATTTCTGTAAATGTACGTGCGGTTATCAGGCATTAGTTGGTTTACAGGTAGTACGTAAATGTATTTGTGAACAACTAGAAAATCCAGACAAGATTTTTTCCTCGCTCAACTTGATTGAACACTTTACAGATAGGTCTTTATCAATCATTAAAAAACAATAAAAAATACCCGATTTCTTCCAAAAATAGTGCTACTTTAATTATGCATAATTTCTTTATTTTACTATAGAATAACTAATATATAATAATATATTATAATAACTTATAATAATATAATTAGTATATATTTATAACACATCCATACACACATAAATACAAACATTATACAATTTACATATACATGGTATAAATGAATAAATAAATAAAATCATTCAGTGGAAATGTAAGATATACAATAAATAATTACGCATACTATATGTAATTCGTTAATTATTGAGATTATGGTGATTTCCTTACATAGACCAACGGTATAAACATATTATAACAGAACTTAATAAATAACAAGGCCAAATTATTAATTAATGAAAAGAAATATTTCACATGAATTATTTTACATTTTAAACATTATACACGTATGTTTTATTATTTTTTATTCTTATTATTATGAACTTAGTGTGGTTAATTCTATCTACCTAAGTTATCGGTTATTAATGTTCCTAAACTTTTGAACAATTGAATTGTATTTTATATTTTAATATGTTTACATTGAGAGTAATTAGAATAATTACTATGAAAAACCTTAACATTTCTTATGAATCTTAAAATATTTCATAATCTACGAGTACATCGCAATCCGCCATGACGTGTTCTATAATATTCCTTGTTTCTACCAAAATTGTATGCTCGTATATTCGTTTTATTATTATAATACAGATATTTTTACCAATTACCTATTCAGTCTGTTGGTTAGGTATTAAATTATTAACATTAGACTATAGGGCTTACTGCAGTCAATGCGTTAAACGTGTAAACTAATAGTTTTAAATTATCAGATAAGGTCGCTTTGAATTTGACGGTCATCTAATTTTTTTCGTTATGCATTTTTGATGTTAACTGCAGTTTTACAAGAAAAAAAAACGTATTGTTGTTTACTAATTATTTTCCCATTATGCAATTTAAAATATTTGTTATTTTGTTTTACTTGTATATATTAGCTATTGATAAGTGTATACAATTTTTTATTCAGTCGTTCTATTTGGTATAAACTAAAAAATCAATAACGTATTTTTGGCGAATCGTCAAACTGTTATAATAATATATGTACTATTTTCAATTCAATTGTTTCGTATTAATTCGTGTTGAATATTTCCCGAAAATAGAAACTATAT